TTTTATATTTTAGAAGAGTGGATTTTATGGTATGTGAATTATATCCTAATAAAGCTGTTACTAAAAGAAAAGGAGGAGGAGGGAGGAGAAGCAGTGGCAGCTGTAACGGAATGTGAACAAGAAAATCAAATACTTCATAATTGGAACCCAATGAATGGTTAAAAACTCCACTTAGAAACAAAAAGCTTTTCATTTTCCTTTTTATCTGTGAGTGATAGGTGACGTCCTTATAACAATAGTCTCTTATTTGTTTTCCCCTAACAATAACTACTATTATGTTTATTAGTAAAAAATATCAGAAAGCAAAGGCAATTAAAGAAAAAAGTATAATCCCACCCATCCAGGGAAAAAAATCACCATTAAAAACTTCTTGTAAAAACTTCCAGAACCTTTCCTTTTCTCGTCTACTTCCAGATTTTTAAAGATGCTCCAATGTATGTATTTTAAACAAAAATAAATTTCAGGTAGTTGTTTTTTCTCTTAAAGTAGATCCTGGGTACCTTTCTTATGATTTGTAAGAAAGCGCCAAAGTATATACCTTTGTATGTCTTTACAACTTACAGAATAAATGAGGGAAATTTACATTGCTTCTTACAATTATGTAAATGCACAGTGTGTTTGTGTGCACTTTTATAATTATCTCCTAAATATTTAATTCTCAGTAGTAAAATTAGTAAAATTCTTTATCCTTTTACATTTTTATGTATATTGTCATATAGGCCTGAAAAAACCTTGGTACTAATTCAAAATCACACGAAGAGCATATAAATAAATGTTCCCTGTATTAAGGCCATTAGCAGATATTAAAACTTTAAAAACTTTCGGCAGAGACCTCTTGAAAGGAGGTCTCCCTATTTCGTTAGGAAACAATGGGTTCAATGTTCTTACCTTCAGACTTGGTCCAGTTCAACTCTGCCAAACATGGCACAATTAAAAGGGCCAAGAGGACGAGCCTTCTCACAGCCTCCATCATTGTCAAGGGAAGAACAGCCTGAAGGGTGAGCAGGCTTTATACTTCCCAGGGCTCCGTATCTGGCTTCAGAGCCTTCTGGAGACCTTCAGGGAATGTCAGTTTGACCATGCGAGGGCCAGACGTACGTGAGAAGAGAGCAGCTGTGCGGCTGATTTATTATCAGCAATCCCGAACAGTGAGTGTTCGCTCTCCCCAGCTCATCCCTGGGACGTTTACAGGAAGTTCCCAAGTAAAGCTCTTCCTAGGGGATCTCCAACACGTGGCACACAGTAAGCACCGAGTAATTCTTCCGGGCACCGACCTGGAGTTGAGCCTTGGCCCTCGTTTGTGCAGATCACGAAGCGGGTAGCGCTACTGCTATCTTAAGCCTTCACTGCTCTTCTCTAAAAATTACAGTCAAAGGATCAGCTGGGGAGAGAGGTGGCACCTGGGCACACTGTGGGTCCAGGTAGGTCACTCTGATGCCTGCCAGGGTGCTGAGACTGAGGGAGAGAAGGAGGTGGCCCAGGATGGCGAGGAAAAAGAAAGTACAAGTGTGGGTTCAGCTTCCAGGAATTCAAACCATTATGCCCAGAGAGCCTGGAGCAGGTGAATTAAAGGCCCCTAGGCACTGTGTTTTACAGATGACAGAAAGGAATCCTGGTGTCCAAGGTGAGCCTGGTGCTGCAGTGGCAAGGCCAGCACCTGTGACATCAGTAAGTCATACTCACAAGAAGCTTTTATATGGGACTGTTTCACTCATTCATTTATTCAAAAATATTTGTTAGGGGCGCCTGGGTGGCTCAGTCGTTAAGCATCTGCCTTTGGCTCAGGTCATGATTCCCAGGGTCCTGGGATCAAGCCCCACATCCGGCTCCCTGCTCGGCGGGAAGCCTGCTTCTCCCTCTCCCACTCCCCCTGCTTGTGTTCCCTCTCTGTCTCTGTCAAATAAATAAATAAAATCTTTAAAAAAAAATTTTTTTTTGTTAGTTACTGTTATACAGTCTGGGGATTTGGAATTGAACATGAGAAAAACAGTCCTTGTCCCCAGGGAACTTACTCTCTAAGTGGAGGAGACAGAGAGCAAACAAACTGAAATAAATTACAAAGAGTGATAGGTACTATGAATATAAGGAAACAGGGTGATGGGATAGATTTCAGGGGGGATGCAATATTAGGGTGAAATTGAGAAAGATGAAATTTGAGCAAACAGAAAAAGAGAGGCATTCAATTGTGATCTGGGCTTAGGAGATGCATTTTAGGCAAAAGAATGGGCAAGTGCAAAGGCCCTGAGGCAGGAATCAGTTGGGCATGTCTACAAAGTAAGGGAAGGTAGGCCAGTGTGGTGGATGTGAGTAAAGGGGAGGGAAGTGGGATGTAAGGTGAGGAGAGGCAGGTAATGATCCAATTGTGAAGTACTTGTAGGTCAGATGAGGCATTTGGATTTTATTCTAAGTTTGATGGAACTTTGATGGAAAATGATGGCCAATATTTAAGGATCTTCACAGCAGCTCTGTGGAGGTAATAATGGTAGCCATAGACTGAACTTCTACCTTAAAACCCTTCCTGGGTGCCCTCAACTTTCCATGTCTTTCTGTCCTGCTGCCCAGAAACCCTTACTTGGCTCTAGGACACTTGGGTTCCCGGGCAGAACTGTGACCCAAGAGGACTGTTCCCAGTCAGGCCCCTGGATCAGGCATTTGGCTTCATACCAGTAACCACAGTGGCAAGGCCAGCACCTGCGACATTGGGAAGTTGTGCTCACAAGGAGCTTGGACACTCACCAAGGTACGTGGCACCGCTCCACTCGGTTCCTGTCAGCTCAGAGACTTCTGGGGCTGGCCACGTACCAGGTGGGACTGGGTGTCCTGGTGTGAGAGTGAGCAAGGGGCAGAAGTATAGGGTAGGGACCCTTCTGATTACTAAGGGCTGCTCACCCTCAGCTGTGCCCACAGACCCCCATCCTACCCCCACTTTCTTACTGAAGCCCTCTCCCTGTCTCCTATGGATGTGATCTCCTATGGAGGTGATCTCCTAGCTCCCTGAGCCACCACCACTGGTGTAAGAGCTCTGTGATTACTCTCCTGGGAGGGGGACTAGCAGAGGGCAAAGAACCCTGGGTTAGAAATCAGGAGACAAGCAGTTCAGGCCAGGGACAACTTACCATGAGATCACAGGATGCCAGGGCCTGTGGGGCCGGTATACCTTATCTTGCTTAATCCTCACCGTCACCTATGCAAGCCCTCAGCTCACATCAAGGAAAATGAGGCTCAGGGAGGTTAAGAAACTCCCCCACTGGCACATAGCTAATGAAAGGCAGAGTTGGATTGGAATCAAGTTTATCTGGTTCTGAAAGCCATGTTACACACTGTCCCTACTGCCTGTGAGAGGGATGTCTCTAAGAGCCCTTGCCCCATCCTGCCTCCTTCATGGACCCTGGGATGCCTGAACTTCAGGCATAGTCCCCGTGGAATTCCTGTACAGAACATGCTTGCACAGGGCCTCCAGGGTCCTGGGCACGGTGCTGCCCACTGGGTGAGGGCCAGAGGGAAATGGGAACTCGCTGGCAAGGAGAGACTCGAAGCGCACGTGAACACCGAAGACAAGGCCAGAGCAGGAGACGGCAGAGGCAGACAAAATGCTTCAGGAACTCAAGAGGGACAGGTCACTTCCAGACGGAAGGTCTCAGGGCAGGATCCGGGGAAGATGCAGCCTTGAATTTGCCTCCTGAAACTCATACTGGGGCTGGAGGGCACTCAGCCGCCATGGATTTTCTCGGCCATTCCAAGGGCTGCTCTGTGAGAGCAGCTCCAGCTCCCACACTCCTGGCAAATTTCTCCACCACTCAGGTGCTAAAACTGCCCTCAGCGGCCAAGCCCTCTGCGGAGAGAACTGAAACTGCTCATTGCGTCACTCTTCACTCCCCTCAGCCTAGAGATAAAAGCTGTTTCCTTCATTTATTCCTGTTATCCTTTTTCTCCCCTTTTAGTAGCTAACCACCTGTTACTAGTTAACTCTTTATATTAAGTACAACATGTGATGCTCACAAAGCAAGGGTTTTGTTAACAAGACAAAGTACAAACTGTCGTTGCAGATGGGGAGTCTGTGAATAAAAGGGGGTCCAGAAGGCTCAGTAGAAAGAGCAGGAACAGAAGGGGGCTGATGAGCAGAAGTGGAGAGAAGTACATCCTACTGCCTACTGCTCAGATCAAGAGAATCCTGGGCTTTGGCATTCAGCTGGAGATTCCTGTTAGCACTTAAAGGCACTGGCAGCTGAATCAGCAAAACCCATGTTAAAATGATCTAAAAAGGAGGAAATCTGCTTCTGAAGACTTGGAGAATGGCAGAAGGAAGAATCTCAGGTTTTTCGAAATGTCTTTTAGACACCATCGGGTTCAACCCCATCATCTAAGGTCACACTAAACCCAGAGACGTCCCATTTGTCTGTGCTCGCTCTAGGATGACAGGAGTTCTCCTTCAGGACAGTGTGACCTAATTGTATGCAAGTAGAGTAGCTAGAGGCCAGGGAAGGAAGCCCTCACAAGGAGAAGAGCCAAGTGAACTCGTCCAGCTTGGGAATTTCTGATGAGTCTGAAACTGGAAATGCTCTAAGGTCAATATATATTTTTCTTCTGGGATTGGTGATGTACTGGATGCTTTTATTTTCTACTCTAACTCTCCCCATATTGCAACATAATATTACAAGATAGGTGCCCCAAGTCCCAAAGTGACTACTACACAAATTTAAGTGCATTTATAACTAACATCAGCACACACTGGCGGCAGAAGATTATTTTCAGTATTGCATTTATTCACATAAGCACATAAATATGTTCTATAATACAGAATGTAAACACTATAAAACTTGACTTGAATAATAATTCTACTAAAAAAGAAATACTGCACATGAAGATATTTGTGCCCACCCAAGTCAGAGTCCCTCGTTTACGTCACAGAAGCACGGTGGCAGGGGGCCATAGTCAGCATACAGGCTACATTCGTCACAGCACTGGACGTTGGGATAGGACCCAGTGGTGAGGGCTGCAGTCGCGGCGACCTTGTCCTGAGTGAGCATGGCTGGATTACTCTTTAAGGCCAAACAAAGAGGTGCCTTTGAAGGTCTTAAAAAAAGACATACACAAAGCATGGGATTAGAATTTTTCTTCTCAGTCCACTGGTCACAATTATCAGGGGTATCTGTGAAGTTTAGGCCTAGAGCCAATCAAATACATAACAGCAGCCCGAAACTAGAGCTCTCTGCCCCTGTCCCAAGCTCCTATCTAATCGCTTCCTCTCCTAGGATGCTAGAAATGGAGAATCAGGTTACAGCAAACAAGGGAAAGCAAACTCCAAGTGTGGATCACCCAGCTGATCGCTGCAGGCCCATCAAGTGCACAGCGTGACCGGGAAGGGACCACACTTGGCCGTCCCCCACGTTCTGGGATTCATCTTCTAGCTCACAGGCTTAACTTCCCTAGCATGGGAACAGCACTGCTTCTAACGACCCATCTCTCCCAGATTTGAAGGTTCCTCTCCCCCAAAGTTAATTATCTTTTGTCTATACTCCCTTGTCAGGTGTCCCCCAGGATCTTCACACAGCTCAGCTTCCCCGTAGTCCCACAGGCCCGCCTCCCTGTCCCCAAGGCCATGCACAGTGAATGTGAGAGCTCCCCAACTCAGCTAAGAGGAGATCCAGTCAGCCTGTCCTCTGAGTGAATCCGAGGCACAGACTCATTCACAGGCTCCCCCACGGTCTGCAGTGCTTGGGACGGAGGGAGGGCCCAGCCAGTGTGCTGAGTAAACCAGCTGGGGGTCCACTCTGGGAGGGTAAGTGGAGCAAAGCAGCACGGAGCCACCCAGCTGAGAACATTCTACTTATGAGCTCACAGCCCTAAGCCAGAAGGGGAAAAAACCAAGATTCTACACTCACCTGCTTTTACCTTTTCAAACCTACCTGCTGTTCCTGACCTCACTCTGGGTGCAGGCACAGGGCAAGGAATGACCTTGCTCAAGCAGAGAGCCCCAGGTATCCTATTTGAGGGGGTATTTTTCACTCTTACCCACATCACTCACTTCAAAGCGTCGGATATTTTGTAGTAAAGACAGATGACAACACCCATCAGCACAAGAATGGCCACCAGGATACCACCACCAATGCAGAACATAATTATCGTGTTGACTTTAGAAGACTTAGCTTTATCTAGGCAGAGAAGTGCAGGCAATGAATGGGCTCCCCTCCCCACCCAGCCACCTCGCCACCTCAACAGCTTCCTCTAGTGGAAAAAGAATTGAATCCCAAACCACAGCTCCTTGTGCGTGTAAAATACAAATGACCCTAAACTGGCCCAGAGAGGGAGAAAGGGTTTATTTATGAATGAGAGGAGACTGAAATGCAAAACCCAGAGAGAAAGAAGGAGAATCTTTTACTTCCTTTCAAAGGCAGTAATGTGCAGCTGTAAGTAACAAAACAGGTCTCACTAAAATAAATGATTTTACTCCCGAATACCTGGGCATCCTGAAATACATTCACTTTCAGAATCAGAATTAACTCCTCACTCTACCTCAGGCTTAACAATCTCCTATGGGGATGGTTGAGGGGATGACTTTTTAAAAATGTTATGTTCAACAGTGCTGAGAATATATGAATCTATTTTGTAAATGATAGGTGTTTCAGGAAAAGTCTTCTATTCTCCCACTGACACTGCCATTTTTCCTCCTCAATCCTCCCAGGAAATCCAGTTTTTCTGGAATAAGCAATTCATTTAATCTCACTCCCTGAAACCAGGGAAAAGTGAATAAGGATTGAAAAACAATCCACTTAATCTCACTCCCTGAAACCGGGGAAAAGTGAGCAAGGATTGAAAAACAATCCACTGCCAAAACATACTTACTAGTGTCTACATCTTCCATGCTCGATGAATGCCGGCAGTAAAAAAAAATTATAATTAATATAAACTTTAGGGAATAGTACATCTTATCAGGAATTTCTCAAACTTTTAATTTGAGAAAGAAAATTCTAATTATCCCTGTTAGGGGTAATTAAGATGTAAGTCTGAAGAGCTTGCTTTTAGATGCATAGTCTCCACGAGAGCTACCAGAATGTACAGCCACTGTCCAGTTCCAACGTCCATGCCTGTCAGGCCAGAGGCTGTGTGACATCAACACCCTGGACACCAACTCCTCATCATGGAGTTCTGAATTCCATTCCATGTTCAGACATATTTTAGGACCAGTAGAAATATGAGTGTCCAAATACTACTCTACATCATTTACTCTCTGTCTCACCTTTTCAAGTTTTGTTCTCTCAGAGAACCTTTTAAGGTTGGACTATTAATCAAAAGTCAATCTGGGATTTCAATTAAATAAAAGGACAATAATATGGGGAGGCTAATATTTTAAAAATACTCATATATCTAAAAGTTCAATTATGGAAGACTGGTTAGACTTTATGTTGTAGCAACACAATAGAAATAATATATAGCTGTAGGCATTTAACAGGACTCAGATGTAGGTTCACTGACTTCAGAATATTATCAGATTTTATGTCTAAGACAAAAGGATTTCAAAAAGCAAGGGCGCCTGGGTGGCTCAGTTGGTTAGGCAACTGCCTTCGGCTCAGGTCATGATCCTGGAGTCCTGGGATCGAGTCCCGCATCGGGCTCCCTGCTCAGTGGGGAGTCTGCTTCTCCCTCTCCCGCTCCCCCCTCTTGTGCTCTCTCTCTCTCAAATAAATAAATAAAATCTTTAAAAAAAAAAAAAAAAGGATTTCAAAAAGCAGTATGAATAGGATGTCTGTTATAAATCAGGTTTCTATTGTCTTAAGGTATTCACACTCAGCAAAGCTGGTTCAATTAAATGAGGAAATTATTTTAACTATGAAGGGTTATTCCTCGTTGCTCTGGCTAAACCCTGGGTGAAGTCACAAACAGCAGGGTACTTATCAACAAAACTAGTGGCATAAGACCTCTGAAAATTCTTTCCTCTATAAAAGCAATGAAAAATCGGACAGAAAAACTGTCTTTTTCAGACTCTGGAAATTAAAAGCTTACTGCAGCTCAGGAAACACTTATTTTTAAGAAGAACAACTGAATCTCAGTATGAATAGCAGGCTTGTGGCATTGTTCCATCATTCACTATCCAGCTCCATGGCAACCTTGAAAATAAAACCCAACCTGCAATGCAGCCACCAAAGGCAAAACAGAGGTAGAGCTCTTTCAAAGCCTCACTCCCAAAGAACTGTCATTATTTGAACTGTCTTCTGGTTACCTAGAAATCCTCTCTTGCAAAGCTATCTGTATTTGATGTAACTTGGAGTTCTCCTAATGCAAAATGTCTTCCTCTAAGGGGATTTTGGCAAAAACAATTACAATTGTTTCAACTTCTTGGCTGCCTGAGGTAGTGGATAACATTTAGGGCAAATCACAGAGTAGCCAAAAAGCTTAAAGGAAAAGCTGGTAAATTAGCTGTCCATAGGAGTTTTGAAAAGCTCTGACACATTCCTGAGACTCTAGGCCATGCATATGTGCTGTGTGTGTGTCTAAGGCAGTGAGTATCCTCAAGAAAGACACAAGATGGTCCTACGCATTCACCTCTGACTGACCTAAGGCTTTTGCCCAAGCAAAAAGTGAAGGCTATGGCAGAGTTTTTAACTGCGTGGCTGATTGTTAAAGGCATGCCCCAACATGCACATGGAGCCCCTCATGAAAGACTGGGAGATTTACTGGTTCCAGGCATTTAAAGTAATCTTTGTCCAATCATTAGCTGATCACTAAGCTAATCAACAGAGACTTCAGTGTCAACATACAACAAAGAATACAGACTTTATAGAATTTGTTGAGAAAAGTCACTAAACAACAACAAACCTTGGAGAGCAGGGAGAAACGGATTTCCAGAGTTGCCATATTATATTAAATGTCTAGTTTTCAACAAAAGACTATAAGATGAAAGAAAGAAAAAGAAAAAAAAAAAAACCAAAGAGAAGTATGAATGATAAAAGGTAAAGGAAAGCAATTAATACACTTTCCCTAGGAAGCCCAGACATTGGCCCTACTAGACAGTCTTTAAATCAACTATTTAAAATATTTTCAAAGGAATCCATGTCTAAAGAACTAAAGTATGAGAATAATGTCTCCAATAGAGAACATCAATAAAGAGAAATGATTTTTTTTAAAGAGACCAATAGAAATTTTGGAGTTGGAAAGTAGAACTGAAAAAAGTTCATTAGAGGAGCTTAACAGCAGACCTGAGCAAGCAGAAGAACTAATCAGTGAACTCGAAGATAGATCAATCGAGATTATCCAGTCTGAGGAACAGAAAGAAAAAAGAATGAATAAAAATGAGCACAGAAATTACAGTTCCACTACAACATATTAAGAGCTTGGGAGCTGCCACCATCAAAACAAGAAAAAAGCTGAACAAACTTGATAATCAACATGTCTTCCTAGATTGACCAGAGAACTGAAGTCACAGGGCAAACAGATACCCCAAAAGTGAAGAGACAGGTGAATATAATATAGAGAATAACAGCTTCTCAGGATCAGAAGCCACTGCTGGAGCCAGCAACTGGTAGGAATAAAATGGTAGGTGATAAATTGCTGGAGGCTGAAGGAAGACCAGCATGAGAAGAAAAAAAATTCCCGGGGGCCCAGGTTTTTCGGGGGTGGGGGGAGAGCCACTTTTCATGAATTTTACATCAAGGAGCTCAATGAGGTTCTTACAGTGAAGACTGCAGAAAAATCTCATTCTTTGGTCTCCACTGATACCACAGTAGAGGTGACCCTGTTGCTGCTGTTGATGGTGAAAGTCCTGAATTTCCAGTAAGCGTTCTCTGATGCCAGCCCAGCAGTTAGGTGAATTGTGCCTCATCACCACTGGGTCAGGGTGAAAGCTCAGACTTCCCAAGATCTCCACTGATTGGGGAGGTGGGGGTGTTATCACCCAGTCTTCTCTGATGCTACTCTGGCAGGAAGGGGCCATTTGGGACAACTCTTTATAGCCTGGTGAGAGTGAAAGTCTAGGCTCTCCACTTAGTCTTGGCTGGGGAAAAGGCTGGCCTGGGGGTGGTTTTATCCGTTTTTTCTGGGATATTTGACTAGAATGCAAGCTCCCTGGCTTGTGAGGCTCCCCTTTTCTTGGTTCTTTGGTTAGAGACAGCAGGATTTTCTTGGGAGCTTTTCTGTCTGCACCCGTTGGTGTTTCCTGGTTGCCGGCTTCTTCATCTCCAAGTCTGGAAATATGAGGCAAAACAAAACCCAGGGAGTTCACCACCATGTTCCTTGGATTTCAAATTTCCTAGCTTGTCTGTTCTCTTCCCTCCACCTGTCAGGGTCTTGTGTTTGTTTTCTATATAATGTCCAGGATTTTTAGTTGCACTTGGTAGAAAGCATAATAAAAAAGTATATCTACTCCATCTTCCCAGAAGCCGAAGTCCCTCATATGGGAGATTCTGAAATCAATCCTCTACTTGATGACCACAGCCACCGTGCTGACCCTGCACTTGTCTGACCCTAAGAGTGAATGCCTCCTTAAATTTTGCGTCCCGCACCTCAAATGTGTCATCCTAGACTGGGCCGTCCACATTTCAACATAATTTATCTTTCCAGCTTCATCTCCCACTGCATTTCCCCATACCCCATGTATTTTCATGCCTCTGAGCCTTGACTAGATGGCTCTCCCAGCTCCTCTCCTCCTCTATCTGCTGTAATACTAATCCTGCAAGGCCTCACTCAGTGCCAACTCCTCTGTAAAATCTTCACTGATTCCCATCTGTCCCCCATGTTAACTGCTGCTTTTCCTCTGTATCTATGCCATTTGCTTGTACCTCTCTAAAAATTTGAATTTCATCTGTCATAAGGATTTCTGATTCCTGTTCTAATTCTGAACAGATATTTGTCTTGACTACAGGAATACTCTGGAGTTGAATTAACTATGGGTTTTTTTTCCTGCTTTTTACCTCACTCAAAAATGGTTTATTTTTCCAAGTTTCTTTTCTATGCCCTCCATCAAAGCAGCAACTATTCTGAGGGACATGGCCTTGAATGAGCTTAGTCATGATTAAGGAGACAGGTTATATACTCCTTCCCTACAAAGATGACCACCTCATTTCTTGGTTTCCTTTTATTCTTGTGGTTACTTGACTGTTCTATCTGATGAGTCTATACTTTGAAAATTTGTTTTTTTCAAGGTATGAGTTTCATGAGGCAGAAACTGGATCCTCAATATCAAACAGAGGGCCTAGTACCCATTAGGTGCTGACACATTTCATGGGCAATGACCCAAATACGAATTTTGTCAATCTGATAACAACTTTCCTGATCCAAGCCTCTAAATTCAGACAGAGCAATAAATTCAGACATAACAGGGGCACCTGGGTGGCTCAGTTAGTTAAGCGTCTGCCTTCAGTTCAGGTCATGATCCCAGGGTCCTGGGATTGGGTCCCACATCAGACTCCCTGCTCAGCAGGGAGTCTGCTCCTCCCTCTCCCTCTGTCCTACCCCTGGCTTGTGCTCTCATTCACTCTCCCTCTCTCAAATAAATAAAATCTTAAAAAAAAAAAAAAATTCAAACCATAACAGTAAACCAAGAGCATTATTACTTCCTTTACTGATAAAAATATTTTGCACATTTCTTTTAAGTCAGCAACATTAACCTACTCACCTTATTACTCCCAACATGTTTTAGCAATTTCTGAGTTTCACTGCAGATGGCCAGAAGACAATGCAAAGACTAAAACTCTGTTTGACAGATGAGGAAACAGAAGCTCAGAGAGCAGAAGTGATTCCCTAGGGTCACCTAGCAAGTCACTACAGGGCAGGAACTAACGCCTGATTCTGTGACCTATTCCTCCAGGTCCAGTGCCTTTCCACCACCCCCCCCCCAACCTTTCTGCAACCCTCTGAAATGAAGTGTTGTTCCCATTCCCCGTACCCACTAACTCTATTATCCAGAGGCTCTGATTTTGGCTCTGAGCAGAAAGATGCAAAGAAATCCAGTTGCATTTCATTTAGGGAAGGGCCTGGTGATTGATAATATTGTCATCCTAAGTGTTCATTGGCAACTCACATGTAGTGATTAGGCAAGAGGACTGAGAGTAATGGGAGGGCCCTGTGTTCCAGATGGCAAAGAGTAGGCAGCAGCTGTGTACAGAATCCATGAGTTGAACTTTGTGGTGTGATCCAGGTTCCAGGGGCGTTTTCCCTGTGGCAAATTATTAGTAATTCACATACACAAGGACTTTCACCCAGATCACTTATTTTGCCAAGGGCCCATCCTGTGACTAACACCTGGGGCAGGTGGCTACAGATACCCTCCTACTTGTAAACTGCATATCTAGTGGCAGAAAACAGCCCAGATCCCAGGTTACTGGGAGTAACCCTGTGAGCCCCCTTACTTGACCCAAGTTCCATCTCTGTGCCTCTTCCACAGCAACTGCTCTGCTCCCAGGATTTTCATCTTTACCTTCAGACTCCTGCTCAGCTGAGGGCTTTGTTGTGGTCCTGGCAACTGCCGTGAGGAGGGCCCTGTTTTGCCTTAGAGAGGGAGGATCTTCCAAACTGAAATCCTATTGTAGCAATACATGCTACTACAGTATAGCATAGAATCTATACATGGTAGTTATTTTAAATTCCCTGATAATTCCAAAATCCATGTCCTATGTTAAGACTGGTTCTAATGCTTGCTTTGCCTCTTTGGCATAAGTTTTTATTGCCTTTTAGTGTGCACTGTAATGTTCTGTTGAAAGCCAGACATAATGTAAATGGAGAAATGCATAAGAACCGAGGTAATCACGTTGTTAGTGTGGAGTTTTATGTTAATCTGATTAGGAGTTAGGCTATGTTTAATGTTTGCTGTAACTATAGGTGTCAGAGGCTTCAATTTCCTCTAGTATTCTTGCTTTTGTCCCCCCTATTGTCTTTTGGTTTCCCTAGAAACTCCTTTTAAAATAGTCTGCATCCTACTCTCTTGATTGTAATCTACTGTTTTTATTTATACTGGAGCCCTGTTGATGTGGTGGCAAGGCACTGGGGAAGGAAAGCATTCCGTTATCTTTTTTTTTTCCTTAGTCTTAAGACTAAATCAGTTTTTAGCAGACCTGAGTCCCTTGCTTGTCACCTTCAAAAGTGTTTGTCTTTGTTTTCCTTTTTTTTCTCCCTCCCCCTACACGTGGCAGGAAGGCTGGAGTTGTCTAACTGCTCACCCCCCTCCCCACCCTGAGCCAGGTCACAAAAGACTGGTAGTGTCCCCTGAGAGTACACCTTGGTTCAGGAGAATACTGTGGACTGTATTTCAAAATGGCTACTTTTCCCCTCCCCCTGCAGAGAGCATGAGGAAATTCTTCTCCAATCTTCACTGTGCAAATCTGGTGGGATTCCTGGAAGTCAAACCCATAGAAGTAGGGGGCCTCCTAAAAGTGGGCTCCCAGGGGTATCTCGCTCTCAAGCTAGTCCACACTCAGCCTCCAGCAATTCAGTTACTGCCTCCAAAGGGTTCTGTTCCCGGTAAGTGGATCTCCACTGGGATTTTCTGCATTTACCTGTCTCTCCAGTGGTCAGAATGGCTGTTTGCCCTGTGACATCAATTACCTGGTGGATTTTTAAAAAGTCATTGATTTTCAGTTTGTTCAGCGTTTTTGTTATTGTTGTAAAGATGGTTGTGATAAATTCCAAACTCTTTTCATGTCAGAGCTGAAGGCAAAAGTGTTGATTTTTAAATTAGTAATATAAACCCACATAAACAAACAAGCTCTTTGAAGTATTCAACATACGAGCATGTAAAGGGTCCTAGACCAAAAGTGTCTGTGAACTACTGTGTTACAATACACTGTCAGTCATGATCCACACTATAAATCCTAAATTAACAATAAACTGCTCCTTAAAATAGGCAAGCCAAAAATTTATATTGTGATACTGGTGGGAAGTTTTCAAAAACACGTTCTATTCTTTAAAGTAAAAAAAAAAAAAAAAGGCAAGAAGAAACATTTGCAATTCATGGTAAGAATAATTTAGCACATTAAAATCACAGTAACCTCTGCACTACCACTATTCTGGCTTTGAAAAAAGTGTAAGATTGAATTTACTGATTTTTCCTTTTTCTGCTCCTCTTACATTGTAATAAAGTTCTGAACCCATACTGCTTTCCTTATCAATTCCATTCAACAAACCTATTCTGAACACATCCACCAGGTATAAAATAATTCCTAAGCTCAATAATCATTCAGATGGTAGGGAACACAAATGTGAGAATTATTTTATACAGTCCTGAACTACAAGAGAATTATACATTATAGGACCTGAAGATTCTAAGTGTAGTACAGAAAAAGTAGTAATTGATTCTGTAACACAGTGAAGTTCTATACTTGGCTTTCAATGATAAACAGATTTTCCCTGCCATCCAAAAGAAAAAACACTGTAGGTAGAGAGGAAAGCTCGTACAAAGGTAGAGGAGCCTGGGATGTAGGCAAGAGTGGCGAGTACCAGAGGCTTTATACACTGTGCTAATGGGCAAAGATGATGGTGGCTCAGGAGCAGGAAAATCAGAGGACAGTCCACAGAATGAAAAGAAGATGAAAATGAGAACTAATGACCAGTTGAAGAAACTCCTAAAACTATCCGAATGAAAGTTAGTGCTTGGAAACAGAAGAGGCAGAGACGGAAAAAGATAGGAAGCTTTGCCTTAAAATATATATATATATATAATATATATGTAAAATTATATATAACACATATTTATAATTATATTTGTAATATATATCATATATAATATTTTATATATATATATATGTATCTCATGGCTTGGGGTGATTTACTGGATATATGGGAATGAAAGAAAGGGAAAGCCTATAGCAATCTTTAGTTTTCTGGCCTGTGGCTTTCAGCTTTATGTAAGGAAGTCAACACCCAGTTCATAGTATTCATCTTGTTCATTAACTTGCAGGTTGGTACTTCTGAAAAAGAGTCTATTTTCCTTTGGAGACTGTCCAATAGATTAACATGGATCTAAGTTTTAAGTTATGACCATAGAGGCAGGACATACAGAGGAAAAAGAAAAACAAAACACTGCTGTAGACAACGTAGAATCAATACTAATCTCTGAAAACATTAAAACTAGGATACGTACAACCAAGGACTTCTAACTTGCTGAATACATATCTGATCCTTTGGTGGGGTTTCTCTTTCAAACTTGGTGAATCCATCTAATACACACTCTGGATAACAGATTACTTACAAAAATTTACATTCCAATTTTTCTAACACCACTCCACAGATAAAAAACAATGAAACAAGTTATTGTCCAAGGAACTCCTGCTTTCCCAAAGGTCTCACTTAGCTTTTATGAAAGACCTACATTAAAACAGTAAGGTTTTTTTTTTTTTAAAGATTTTATTTATTTATTTGAGAGAGAGAGAATGAGAGAGAGTACATGAGAGGGGGGAGGGTCAGAGGGAGAAGCAGACTCCCCGCCAAGCAGGGAACCCGAAGAGGGACTCGATCCCGGGACTCCAGGATCATGACCTGAGCCGAAGGCAGTCGCTTAACCAACTGAGCCACCCAGGCGCCCCAAAACAGTAAGGTTTTATGTTCATAAAAACGGAATTCTCTTCACCTTTCTTTCAGTTATCGAAAACCGGCATTAATGTAGGTCTTCGTAAAAAGCAAAGTGGAAACACTGGAACTTTTGGAAAGCAGAGGATACTCTTCCCTTTAGGCCATTTCAGCTTAGAAAAGGTTTTACAAGAACGCTCTACTTTCGGCTATGAGGGAAATCTGTAGTCTCACTAGGCACATATCCCAACAAAACTCGTTAGACCTTAAGAAAAAATAAAAATTACTAGGCATTGAAACAAACAAACAAAAAACAGAAAAGAAAGTCCTAAAACAAAATTAACATGAGAAAGAGTAAAATTTCTATTTTCTAAAGAGAATACCACCATAAATACATGGCAGACAGCCCAAATTTGAAGAACGCTGACATTCCAGTTTTATTTAAATCCAATCATCCAGTTTTTTCAAGATGAGTTTAACAGGAAGGAGCAGAGAGGCACGAGTTACGCTCCTCTCCTGAGGGGCAACTAGAAAGTTCCATCTGCTCCACTTTCCGGAACCCAAACCTTAGAAGTCCTTCAAGTCGCAGCTCAGAGGCGACTCCACCAGAGCCCTGAGGCCCCACTCCTGCTCGCTCCTGCCAGGGCCAGGGCTGCGGACCACGGCTGCGGGGGCCGCCCCTGGGGCCCCGGTCTCCCGCCACCTCCCCTCCAGCGCTGAGGCCACAAGGAGCGAGCTCAGCCCCGTCGACATCCTTAAAGTAAAAAAAAAAAAAAAAGGCAAGAAGAAACATTTGCAATTCATGGTAAGAATAATTTAGCACATTAAAATCACAGTAACCTCTGCACTA